GGATATAAAAGCATTTTATTTAGATTTGAACCAAACATTTTTTGTCCATTAGCCAAACTAAAAAAAAAAAGCACAAATTCACCAAACAATGCTACTGGCGTTACTAGCAATATGATGCTAGGTTCTTTTGTTACACTTTATTTTTATCCCCCCGCCGTAGCAGAGGGGGCATTACGTACGTATGTCCCAAAATTGGTTTCCGTTCTCTAACTTTAGTTTGCCTCAACCAAATCTTATGAAACTTATACACAATGCTTATTACCACAAAAACACAGATCAAGTTTGAATTTTGGTAGCGTCACTTTTACCGTTCTAGAGTTATGCCCCTTTACAAATGGAAAAATTGTTGAATTTTTCGTTTCCGTTCTCTAATTTTAGTATGCCTCAACCAAATGTTATGAAACTTATACACAATGCTTATTACCACAAAACACAGATCAAGTTTGAATTTTGGTGGCGTCACTTTAACCATTCTTGAGTTATGCCCCTTTATAAATGGAAAAATTGCTAAATTTTTATTTTCTTCTTAATATCAAGTAATTTTAAAATTGGAGTTATCTTCCTTTGTCCATGATTATAGTTGAATCAACTACAATCAATGCTTTATACAATGCAATGTTTAATTTTGACTTCCACTGATAAAATACAGATCAAGTTGAATTTGGGTAGGGTCACTTTAACCATTATTGAGTTATGCCCCTTTATAAATCGAAAGATTGCTAAATTTTTAGTTTCCATTCTGTAACTTAAGTTTGCCCCAACCAAACATTATGAAACCTATACACAATATTCATTACCACAAAACTAAGATCAAGTACAAATTTTTTGTTTCTGTTTTCTAACTTTAGTTTGCCACAACCAAATGTTATGAAACTTATACACAATGCTTATTACTACATAATACAGATTAAGTACGAAATTTGGTGGCGACACTTTTACCATTCTTGAGTTATGTCCCTTTATAAACATAAAAATTGCTGAATTTTTCGTTTCCGTTCTCTAACTTTAGTTTGTTTCAACCAAATGTTATAAAACTTATACACAACCGTTCTAGAGTTATGCGTGTTTACAAATAGAAAAATTGCTGAATTTTGAGTTTCTGTTCTCTACTTAAGTTAGCCTCAACCAAATGTTATGAGACTTACACACAATGCTTATTACCACAAAACTCAGATCAAGTTCAAATTTGGGTAGCGTCACTTTTACCGTTCTTCAGTTATGTCCCTTTATAACTATATGATATGCAAGCGGGGGCATCATCTGTGTCCACATGTGGACACTATCCACATTTGTTTACATCTGTACTGCCTACTGGCGACTCAGTCCTGAGTGTAAATGGTCATTCAGTATGTTAAGAAAAAGACCAAAATTTATAAGGCCTATCTGGCCTAATTGATTTCTAAAATATATTTCATTGTACATGTTCAACATTTATCATTCATTTGTTTATTTCTTAATTTGTGTGAATTAACAGTAACTGCTAATTACTACACTTTCATACCATAACAAAACTGCCCTACTGTATTGGTATCACTTATATTTGTATCCTTATAACAAAAAAAAACTGAAAAGAGAATACTTTTGCAATAGCTTTTTCATATTGAATACTAAATCTTTTTAGATATTTAGACATATTAAGTAGATGTTCATAATATCCACTTGACATTTTATCATATGACTTCTGTAGTTAGTTATGAGTCTTTGAAGCATGCTCACAAAGGTTCTTTTGTTGATATCATTTTCATACTGGTCAAAACTTTTTTTTGCTTTGACCAGCTTTGGAGGAGATATTTTCAAAGAATTAATAAAAAATAACACAGAAATTCACTTTCTATCTCATCTAGCCCCAATCATCATGTCAGGCATTGTCATTACTAAAAAACATTAAATGTCTTCTAAACTGAGAAAAAATTTCCACATTTAACCGAAATCTTTTACTTATGATACTGACAATCCCCCACAAAGTAATATAAATAGAACCATACAAATAGTAAGCAAATACATGTTCTCAGATACCATCTCCCATATAAAAAAAATCACATTAAAAAAAAATGAACCTATTATGTGTTCCTCTCCTGGCTACAAAATGTATCCAAAATCAAAGATGTGGAACATATATATTCTATCATAATCATTTGGTAATTAATGCAATTAGTATCTCTTCCATGCCCGTGTTGAACATAAAAAACTAAATATTACATAAACAACACCCCTAATGCTCATGTTGGTTGTCATTGTGCAACACAGTTAATACATAGAAAACATAAAACATAGAACTCCTTTTGTCTTATAAAACACTGTCAAACATCCAATCATACTATCCACACTGATCTGTGTCCACACTTGTTTACATATGTAATATATAAATTGAGGACTTTCACTCAGTCAATACGTTATATATGGAACTTTTATCTTATATTGACACTCGGACTTCGTCCTTGGTCAATATAATCTGAACAGGTTCATATATAACGTATTGACCTCGTTAAAAGCTCATAATTGATAAATACAATGAGTAGTTCCTGTAATAGAGCCATCCGGATGAAGGTCGCGGGGAAATTTAGACTGCCACAGGAAAAATAGGGTAAATTTGATAGGGACAGAACTTTTGCCTTGCAACAGACCACATACGGACCCCTCTACTCAGAGTGTTTGCAAGGGTTCTTAACATGCAAAGAGCGTGGCACTCTCTTTACACGAGGCATCGGATTCAATGTCCCTATTCTGATCGGACGTGAATGCGAACTTGTACATCCCGTACAGATAAACGGACGCCACACTTTGGCCAGGTTTTTAAATTGCTGTCGGTCGGAAGATGAGCTGTAGACTACTAGTAACCATATTTCTAATGCCGAGTCATCTTTGGGAGATGCACTGATTCTGTATGTGTTTGTGCCTATTCAGGAACTTGCAATTCAGTTATATAGTCGTTTGTTGTTGTATAGCATGTTTGTTTGGCCGTTAGAGTTCTCGTTTGAATCATTTTACATTTGTCATTTCGGAGCCTTTTATAGCTAAATATGTGATATGGGTTTTGCTCATAGTTGAAGGCCGTACGGTGACCGAAATTTGGTAATATATGCGTCATTTAGTCTCTGATAGTCTCGAGAGTTCTCTCCTTTGGAATAAACCCATCATAAATATATTATATGTAATAGATTCAGACTTTGAAAGAAACTGAACAAATAAATAATATGATACCATCTGATTTAAAAAGTCACTTATAATCAATTACAAATCACTAAAGAAAGAACAAAACCGCTCATGTGGTTTTAACCAATTTCTTAATTTTTTTAGACTATATACGTCTAGTATTTTTTTCTTCCAAAATTCATGTGCACGCCCGGGCGATTTGACGTAAACGTAGCTACGCGTATGAAACAAATCATATCATTACTCTTAGTTATATAAGATAACACTAACAATATTTGAGATCATATAATCGTTTAAAAACATTTCTCTATAATTGTTTTCAATTATATTCAATATAATGTTACTGTCGTCTAATATTTCTTTCATGTAATGCTCCATTTTGAAGGGTTTGAAGAGTTTACTCAACTTGTAAGTTAATGTTCGATTTAACTGTCTAGTGCGCTTGCACAGTTACGTAAAAAGATTTGTTTGTTTTACCCGAGTAACCCGAATTAATCAAATCGAAGCTCGAGTTAAACCATTGTCGTGACGTCAGCCGATTCATTTACCGTGGATTCTTTTTCTAGAATCAACGCTTTCTAAATCTGTCGCTGAAATGGATTCACTAAATTATATACAATTGTTTCCTTTGTGTGCCTAATTTCATTAAGTTTGAAGTAGCTAATTTACTGATTTCTGTTCACTAATGGAAATAATTTAAAAACTTACCTTTATTTTTTTTAATTTTTATATGCCTCCACTTAGAATCGAACCCGTCCTTGAAATCTGTTATGTGTGACTGACATCAACATATCGACGAAACCTCTCGGCTACCAATTGGTTAGAATTTAAATCTGTCTATTTTATATATATATAAATGAACATATGATATACATCGGTACAACGGACACACACACAGGGCTTGTACCTTTATATATATACATAACAGGCAATCGTATAGTATAAGTTGGTAGCCGCGTGTTTAGCATGGTTAAGATCAATGAGTTAAAGAGTCAAGTTAAAGGTAGGGACTTATCGGTTTAGGTTCGAATCCCTGCACGTATTCTCTTTGTTGTCCCTATTCTTTAGTTTTTCTTTTTTTTTTTTCTTATTTTATATGTAATTGTGGATATTTTTGTAATAATAGCGAGTTTTATGGTTTATTTTGGATTATTATTGGCTATTTCACATATTTGAAACGAAAATGATTACATTCAATTTGTCCATTTTTGTTTTATAAATACAGTAAGATTTCATCTGTTTTACTACATAATTTTACAAATTTTTATTCGCAAATTCCTATGCGAGTAAATCGTGATGTGCCTAATATTAGGCTTCTTGCTAGAAATTTCGGTAACATACTTATTATATATGCTCTTTGGTCTGGTTGTTGTCTCTTTGACACATTCCCCATTTCTATTCTCAATTTTATTAGAAATAAGTTCGAATATGTCTTATTTTGTAAACACAGATAATATTCAGATGCCTGATAATTTAAAGGCAGACGTGTTGTGTTATATTTGTATTTGTTTAACCAATTAGTTGTGATCTAGTAATGCATCGTTGAACATGATAACATGGTTATTTAAACTCACTTACAATACCTTCTAATTAAGAAAAGGCTTTAATTTTGAAAAGACATTAACACAAAAGTTTAAGTTATAGATACAATGGAAAGGCGTTGATTCATGAAAAACAAACCATTCGCCCTCCGGGCTCATGGTTTCTTTTTCAAGAATCAACGCTTATTCATTGTATCTATATTACTTAATCAAATCGACTGCAATCGACAATCCTCGGGTGAATCCGCTTCTCTCCTTCTGTCCTCTCGGCCGATTCCGTTCCTCCATCTAGATAGAAGGAGAGTAGCGGATTCAACCGAGGATTGCCGATTGCAGTGACTGCACCAGAACAGACCGTAATTAATTTCCTTGTTGAATAATTTTCAAACTTCCTGATAAATTTTGGCTCATATCAAGAAAACCTTTATTCTGTGAACTTTAAAAGAAGCAAGGTAAGATAGATACTTAATTCTCTAAAAACTAGAGACACTAACAAATTATATCAGTCAAACACAATAAAGTTGACGATAACCCACCAACCACACATAGATGTCTGTGCTTGAAAAAATCTCATCTAAAATTAGGAAAATACCACACTCGCACTATACCACAGGGGTTCGATTAATAGACAGATGCGGACCCATGATTTTAAAAAGGAGGGTAATCGGGGTGTGTGTGTGTGGAGGGGGGGCATAAATTTATTGGAAAAGCTTTCACCGTTTTGTTTTCAAGACAGCTTCAATAGTTGATTTTTAAAGAGTGTAAATATTTCAGAAATATGTATCATTTAAAACTTAATCTTGCTCCTGCTAAAACTGAAAAATATCTGGATCTTAGAGTCATACAATTCAATTCAAAGTTTTAAGCTCTAGTGAGATTTTCAAACCGACTGAATAACAAAATGTATACACACATACAAAAGTCATGAAAACAACACAATTTTAAACACACAGTGCATAGTAAGATGCCATAGATGACATATAAAAGTTAAAAGCATAGTATGCAAAATAAAGCATATCTTAAAACATAGCACAAGTTTTAAGAATTATAAGCACAAATCAAATGGTCACACAAAAAAAAAAAAAAAAAAAAATTGTGATCTTAAATCATACTTATTAATTTTGATATCAATTAAATCATGAAGATAGCTTGGACTTTTTTTGTGAATTATTTTAAAAGTTTCTGTTGCAATAGTTTTTATTCTTCTTATTTTTAAAGAAGGTAATTTTGACTTTTCTAGCAGTTTTTCGTATGAACTATCATAATCTTCATAGATGAATCTAAGAGCTCTTTCTTGAATTTTTTCTTTTTTCTTTTTTTTCGCTACAGTAGTGCCAAATTACTGGACAATAGTTAAAATTCGAAAGAATGAATGAGTAGTATGCTGTTAACCTAACTAGCCTGTTTAAATATTTACCCATTCGTTTTAGAATATTTAATTGTCTTGATGCCTTTTAAACAAGGAATTATTTGGATCTGGAATAATTTTGAATTCTGGAAAATTGATGATTAATTTATGATGAAAACTAACCCAACTAAATAGGGTTAGCCATGCGTGCATGGCTAAGGGGGGTTAGTTAGTTCATACTGAAATGATAGTGAAATTAAAATTAACCTTAGCCATGCGCGCATGGCTCACCCTATTTAGTTGGGTTAGTTTTCATCATACATTTCTAATCAATTTTCCAGAATTCATAATTATTCCAGATTCAAATAATTCCTTGTTTTTACCATATTTCAGATGTATGATTGTTAAAGTTTAAGTCCGAATCTATAGTTATTCCAAGAAGTTTAACATTTTCTTCACAACAAATTTTGTTTCCATTTAAATTAAATATCAAATTATGTTTATTTGGTTTTTTTTCCAATGGCTATAGCCTGGAATTTGTCAGGATTAGCCTTCATTAAATTTATAGAAAACCAGTTTATTAGATTTAAACTATATCAGTTTCTAAACTTTCAACAACTTTATCTATATCATGATCACTATATGATACAGTGTTATCATCAGCATAATTATAAATGGTGCTATTTTGTACAAAATGAAATATGTCATTTATGAAGACATTGAAAAGAACTGGACCAAGAATTGACCCTTGTGGTACATCTTTAAACATACGATCCCATTCACTGTAAGAACTTCCAATTTTAATACATTGTTTTCTGTTTTCTAAATAACTTTGTAATAATTTTAGAGAATTTTTAGACAGACCATATGCTTCCAATTTTAGTAAAAGTAAACTGTGCGGTAAACAATCAAATGCTTAAGATAGATCCATCAAAATTGCAGCAATAAATTTGTTGTCGTCCACAGCTTTTTTCCAGTCTTCTATTATTTTAATAAGTGCTGTTTGGCAACCAAAACCTGACCTAAATGCCGAAAGAAGAGGATGAAAATGTTTATTTAAGAATTCCATTAGTTGATCATGTATAGCTCTTTCATAAATTTTGGAAATACATGGTAACACACTTACCGGTCTATAGTTTTCTTTATTTAGAGAGTTATTCTTTTTAAAAAGTGGGGATACCAGAGCTGCTTTAAGATTATCTGGAAAAATTGAACTTTCAATTGATTTATTAACTAAAATTTTAATAGGATATGATATTACTGGTTGTGCCATTTTTATAATTTTTGGTGAAATATTGACATATCCAGTAGCTTTTCTTATATTTAAACTATTTATTTGTTTACTCACAAACTCTTCTGTTACAGGTTTAAAATTCAACTCATTATAATCAGTTTTAGTTTCTTCGATTTTTATTATACTTGGGTGATTTTTGTCTATTTTAATGTTTTTGTCTCCTATATCATGTATATCTTTAGCTACATTTATGAAAAATTTATTGAAAATTTCTGATACCTCTTTAGGATCACTAAGAATTTTATTACTTTCATATAATTTAATTTTGGATGTAAAGTGTCTTCTGATTGGCTGACGTTGTTTTGTTTATCAGCTCATAGACATAATTTTGTCATGTGACCGTGACGTCATCAACGTTTTTTCATGGTTTACTCTGGTTTAAAATGGAATTTAGAATTAAATTATAAGAAATGACTGTAATATTTTTTCTGTCTATTCGAAATAACATAAAAAATGTGGTGCACACTTTAAAATAACCCGCTACACGGGTTATTCAGTGTGCACCACATTTTTGATTTTATTTCTTAATAGACAGAAAAAATATTACAGTCATTTCTTAAATAGAATTATGTTATTGTTTGATTTAATGCTTTTCACAGTCTTCACAGATGTCTGAATAAAATATCTCTAAATTGCCAGAGTCTAAAAAATAGTTCTTGGAAATTCTTGATCCACTATTGAAATTTATTGAAAGACAAGTTTCTCACTCCTCTTCTAGGTCATTTAATTGGTCTCTGGTGGAAAGTTGTCTAATTGGCAACTCAAAGTTTACCAGAACTCTATAAATCAAAATGTGACTCGAACTGAAAGTTTTTAAATAGAAGTGTAACTTGATACACAATTAGAACTGACTAAAGCAAACTAAATTAACCAAAATTTGACTCTAACTTAAACTCAGAGTATAATCTGGACTCCAACTCCAACTTTAACTCCATCTCTAACATGTCTAAGTCTATAACTATAACTCCAAAACAAGTTTTACTCAAACTTTATCTTAAACTTAATGGTTAGCCACAGGGGCGGATCCAGGATTTTGGAAAGGGGAGGGCGTAGTATGTAAAGATTGCCGAGCGGAGCGAGGCGAAATTTTTTTTGACCTTTTTTGGGCTACAAAACATAAAATAAGTGTAAAATGCACATTTTTAGTGACGGTTCCTAACGTGGGGTATGTATATTTTATAGTTAAAGTGTAAGCTTGGGTTGGACATTTTTGATGCCGCGTGCGCGCATTCTCCCCATTAGTTGTCTATTATAAAATGATTGAATAGATCTAAAGCTATGTACTAATATATATTTGATGTGGGATTTGTCAGTAAAAAATGGGCATGGAAAATTCTCGTTTGTTGTATGGTTAGTTAGCATAACCTCACAGATTACTTGTTGTAAACATGGTATACAGCTATTCAATGAAGTTTATAATACGACCGACACGAACAAAGACAAACAAGCAATTTTTATCCAAATGTTTGGTTGAAATGTTTCACTCAACAAGGGAAGTGAGGGGTTCCAAATCAACCAACGGCTACGAATGAGTCTGAAAATCAAATGACAACGAAGTTGTGAATGACGGTCGACAAATGGAGACATTAAGGCCACACCCAGCAGGCAGGTTGCAGTTGGGCCTTGAAAAAAGTATTCAGTATATCAGTTCGGCGAAACAGACATTCCGGTCAGATATGGGATTTACATGCAACCCCCCCACCCAAAAAAAAAAAATTACGCCCATTTTTTATTCACCATGTTCATTTAATGCTGAATAATTCTGTTGGATTTTTTTTTCTTATAGCAAAAAAGGGGACACGATAATTGTTTTCATCAGATACGGCCATAATTTTTGTTTAAGGCAAAAATCAGGGTCAGAATTTTTTCTCTAAAATATCTCAGACTGCCCTATCAAATCAAATTGTCCATACCTTAGACTTTAAATATATCTATAGCTTACTGACTGGGGATGATTATTCAGCAATGTTATTAATTGGCTGGGGCGTGTGGGGTTAAACATATTTTCGTAGGTAAATAATATTGCTGTGGAACTTTTTTTTTCATGAGATTGTAATTGAGTATTACTTTCTGCTGAGTGGAAATATGAAATAGAAGTCAATACGTTCTTGCTCAATCCTTTGTCGCTTTGAAGGCATCATGCTTGTCATCCTCCGCCTAAGCAATGTGTTACTGTAATTTGAATTTCAAAATGACTGAGTGACGTTTCAAACGTACTGATCAACTCCACCGTAGCGAAACACATGACTGACATAATCAATAATATATTACAGTAAATACGAGCGAAAATATCTTTATAAGTAAAGAATTGTCACATAAAAATTAAATACACGACCGGGAAATGGCAAAGTTCTCGAAGTCTAGTCTGATTCATCATTTTACAAAAAAATAATAAAAAAAGTTCAAGCAAAGGGGGGGCGTACGCCCTCTACGCCCCCCTCTGGATCCGCCACTGAGGCACACTTGATGATTTACATGTAAAAACAAGTGTCTCAAGCTTTTTTTGCTCTGAAAATCATGAAATTAAATTCAAGTACAAAAATGTAAAAAAAAAACTGATTTAAAACTGTAAACTGCTACCATATTCACAGTTGCCTGTTTGGGTAATTTAGAACATCACCTCTTAAGCAGGCAAAAAAACTGAATGTTTGCCCAGTCCTCTAAGGGCAGGCCTCTACAATAACTTTTTTTCCAACTTGTCCAGTAGGACAAGTACATACCAAAACTTGTCCGAATGAAATTGTAACTTGTCCAACAAAAATCTTAATAATAATCTTTTTTGCATTTTAAGTTGATTCAAGGAACAAAAT